TCATCTACACAGGAACTCTCTTGGGACAGCAGACACTGTGAAGGTCAAGTTGAAAGAGAAAACGGTTTCCCAGCTCTGGAGACAAATCATAAAGTCCCATGTGAGGGGGAAGAAGAGGATGGAAAGTAAAGAAAATCATGCACAGATATGTCTTCATAGCACTGTTGAACGTCAGCTCATCCAGGATGTAGGTTGTGGTCAATTAACTAGTGATTTTTATTTGAAATATTTTGAAAAGGTTATTCATTTCTGTAGGCCTTGGTTGATTTTGCACACTACAGAAGTATATATATAAACAACGTTCTTTTGAGTTCTTGAGGTCCCTGCTTTTTCCAAGTGCCCCTCCTGGTCTTGCTGTTGCTGTCCCCAATGGTCATAGGGCTCCTTCCTCCCCTCTCAGATTCATCTCCAGATGCCCTGGGCCTTCTGTGATCCTCACAGAGGAACAGCCCCACACACCACATACCAACATATTACAGCAGACTCCACACAGAATTCAACAGGGATTGAAATGATTCTGCTCACTTTCCCTTCTGCAGTCACTCTTTCCTGCATGCCTTGGTCCCCATGACCATGAGGACAGCAGTGCCTGTGTCACACACTGGCTCAGGTTCACCTGTCCTGTGTGAGGCTGCTACTTATTCCTGCAAACTCTGTCATTCAGCTGAAAACCCTCAAGCACAAGAGTATGTCATGGCTTTTCTATTACATAAAAATATGGTGAACTCCGCTAAACTTCAGGTACAACTTTCACAGTTGAAAAAGATACATTGGGCAATGAAAAGGAAACTTACAAGAGCAACAAGAATCTTTTGAAGTGATACAAAGACAGCTTGTATGTAAAATGTCAGCTAAAATTTATTGTTCCCCACAAAGGAGAACAGAGAGACCCCAGTAGGGTCGTGCTTGATGGGAAGGTCCATCCTGGAAGGAGGTTGGGGGCTGAGGACAGACTCATGAAGCCATCTGACATCAGGACCAAGTGGCTATTTACAACTATGTCTCCTGAGCTCTGACCCTAGAAGGAGAGGGGAAGGTCTGAGCACGTTCCTAGAGTAAGTGGAGCAGACATTGAAAACAGCATATTCACATCCAGCACATAGAGCTCACACTCAGGCAGCCCTGAGTGCTCAACAGAAGGCCCCCTCTCACTCAGGCTGTTTAACATTTGGTCTCAACAATCACGCCACATAATTCCAGAGTATAACATACGATGATCTCCAATATGAATTTCTTTTGTGGAGATAATTTATGAGTGTGTCTGGCAGGAGGCACACTGTAGAAATATCATCATCAATAATGTGTTTTGCTCTATTTGGGATTAAATCTGTGCTATACTGAATATTGTTTAAAATTATTTTCAAATATAT